TTGCCGGCAGACTGCTGTTCTGCGAGGCCTCAGCGACACATTCACAGACGCCAGCGCTTCACAAAGTCACCCCCGAGCAAAGACCGCCTCCCTTCCACAACCTGCTGCTGTCTCGTCCCAGCCCACAACCCCACTGCAGTGACCCATTAGCAGCCTCCTCCTCCTCCTCCTCCTCCTCCTCTCCTGCAGCCGTTTAATTGTTAATCAGGGCGAGAGCTATATTGGTGTGTTACGCCACAGCGTGCCTCAACATTCTTGTAGTGCGCTATCCACTCATTTCCAGTCATGCAGAAGAGAAGGCCTTTGGCACAGACAAGTGCCACACTGTCTGGGCAAAGCACAGCACTGCACACTAGGTTAGGGAAGCAGCATGTTGGCTCTGCAGGTGTGTGCAGAGGAGCAGGTGATGGTGATCATTTACATTTATTAAAGACAGTGTTTCTCTTTAGTCACAATCTACATTTTCTTCAAGCCAGCATATGTTTATCTACGATGTCTACCTCTACTTCGTCTGATCCTGCGTTACTTCCTGTCTCACTCTCAGTCACTTTGCCAATGGGATAACAGCAAAAAACGACCCTCGACGTCAAACACATAAATCTGACTTGGAGGCGAACACACTGCCTTCCTCTGAGCAAAAGCCAGCCTTACAATCCTAATCCAAAGACATAGCTCATTCTCCCTCTGTCCAAGACCCTTCAATCCCCTTATATCAGCTGCAGATGACAAAGCTGCAGATCCCATCTAACTCACAAACATCGGGGTTTAAGCTGGACTGTCCCCACATGCTGCTGTGTTTTTTTTTTTTTTGTTTTTTTTTAAATCCGACTTTCACTCATTTATTCATAATCAAATTAAACATTGATAAATTCAAAGACTAGAAATAATGAGTCCTTCAGAATTGCTCCTTGGAACAGCAGTGCTGTGAGTCCGACCAGTTTCCGGATAAAGAGGCTGGAGATACGATCTCTTCTTGCTCCTGAGGGCAGTTCGGGGCCTCTGATCCGCTCTGCAGTCGGGCAACTGTAGTGAGAGCTGTGGCCGGAGCCAGAGATCACTGGAGGCCATCAGGGTCCAGCCGACAGAAGTCTCCCTTTAATACCTGCAAAAGGTGGCGTGCCTCTCTTTTTTTTTAGAAAAGCAAACAGACCACAACAGGAAAATAAAATATTTGCCAGGCTAAATGATGGGCGAGCTGGGGGGGGACATACGCAGCAGCCTGAGCAAGGAGAACAGTTGGTGACTGTGGAACCTCTTCTAACCCAATGGATGCATTGTGCCAGAGGCTGTCAGGAGGAGGGTGTGTGACGCTGGAATGTGCAGGAATGTTATTTATTTTCACAAACACCACCAAGTGCCCCCATACTAACACACACGTGAGGGCGCCTGCACACATATAGACACACACACACAAGATTCAGATACTAATGTGCATATGTACACACTGACTGGTCTGATGTGCTCTCATCGGGTTGGCCAATGGGAGTGCTTTAGAGCTGCCTCTCCTTACCTGTGGGCAAGATCAACATCAGAGCTCTCAACCTTGATGTGCTGCCATATACTTAGTTCATAAAGGCGTCAACACGCTACGAGACACAGGAGAGGACGGGATAAAGATTTAAAACATTCATGAGAGCTTTGGTTTCTGCTTTGTTGTGAAGAGAAAAAAAAAACAACTAAATGAGCCACTTTTTCCTCCAAACAGATGTTTGAGAAATCAAAGTTCTTTTTGCAAAAGATTAGTAATACGTTTTACAGCTGGGTGAGACTCTGTGTGTGTAGGGTTGTGTCATGCTCATGTCTAGACAGGAGCGTACACTTTTATGGAGGATGGCATCAGCTCAGACTCAGAAAAAATGGAAAAAATGGAGAAACCATTTGCCCAGCAGCAGACAGCAACAAGGCCCATGAACTTCCCACCACTTCTGAGGGGTGGAAGCTGTGTGTCATCACCCTGGCATTTTGGAACTGGTCTGAGATTAGCAACAGTGGAAGTCGACCGGGTCTCGGGTTAATGGAAGGAGACGGTGCCAGCTTCCCAAGTGAGCTCCAAAACGTCAAATGTCACTCTCTTGCTCACATGAAGGTAAAAAGTCCAATAATGCTCAACCACAGCTTGAGTTAATTATTTGTACAGTCACCGCTGTATCATTGCCACTGAAACTGCAAGTGTCCTGAAGTTGACCCTGACCGTGCTGTTGAGGGACGGATGCAGAAATACAACTCCCCTGCAGAAACATCTTTGTTTGTTGCAGTCACACATCTTATTGTACGCCTGCATGTTGAATGAAATTGTAAAGCTCAAGTTCTTCTCTTGTCATCTGTCGGAAGTCCAAGATAATCGTCAGCATAAAAGGAGATTGTTTCTTCCATACAAAACATGCTGACAAATACCTGCGGTAATACTAATGAATAGATCAATTCATATCAAGGGGGTCTCCAACTCTTTTTAAGGAGCTTTGAATACAAACATGGGGGCTCTTCATACATTTGTGAAACTACAAAATACAAACTGGTGCGATGGCAAATATTCGGCAGGCACATCAAACTCCTCAGAGGCAAATATAGCACACAGTCTGAATCAGCAAATCAGACTTTGTTCCCAGCTCTCCTGTTTTATCCGTCTCTTGGATTGTTCCCACGCCTACTGCTCAACATCGTCGCAGCCAAAAGATGGATCTCACGGGAAAAGCTGCTCTGGAAATTTGTAGGATTGTAGAGCGAATGACAAAAGATTTTCAAAGTGTAGAAATCAAGGAATAGTTTCAGTTTAGGAGTGTAAAATGAATGTAAAAGCGCACCGAATATATTATCTTTAAGTAAATCTTGAGTTAGTCACTCTCATCTAACAAGTGTGTTGAAAAAGGAGAAAGAAAAAGTTGGAGCTGCCAAAACGGAAAGAAGATTGACAAATATTTTGCCCCAAAATAGCAACTGCTGACAGAGGAGCTTTAAAAACCAAAGCGTGGCTGAAGCAGCTGCACAGACATCTCAACCTGCTGCGATTGGGCTGCTGGGCCTTGATCTACCCACAACTAAAACTAATATCAACAACATAGGATTATGTAAGCTGTGTGTGAGGCATGTAGTGCATGTTACATCACGCATGCTGCATGTTACTGCTGACAGGACTGAAAACTGACATAAAGCGTTAGCTTGTATTGAAAGAGTCTGACTGATATGATCAGCAGGACAGAATTGGCTTATCAGTCAGTATATATGCATGGCAGATATGTGGCACATTCATGTTTTTCCTGTATTTTATTGTTTAACTCGATTATTTTTGCTCCAACATGTACATATATTTGTTCAACTGTAAAACACCCTGCTGAATAATAGCTATTCTCCTCGAGTTGGCTCTTCTTTGTTATTGCACAATATTTAACCATTAAATATCAATATTGAGACCTGAAAATATATTTGTTTATATGGTTCAACTGCAGTGGAGTTGTAAATACCAAATACCATGCCTATGTCTGTGTCCCCTGTACTATATGTGGATATATTTAAGAAGTGAGGTACTGGCACATGTGTACATGCCCAAATATTGTATGTGAAATACTAGTGGCTGCACCACTGAATCCCTACAGTTGTTCCCTACATGTGTGCAGCAGACCTCCCATCACTCTGCATCACGTTGCTGTGCAGCAGCAACAGCTGATGAAGACTGCAGCAGGTAAAGTGGAGCAAAGCAGCGAGATTAATAATTCCCAGCTGAGTGCGCAGCAGCAGGGCTCCGTTGAGTCTGTTACCTCACATCCCCCTCACCTTCTGATATGCCAGCTGAAGATAGTTGTAAGGGATCCTCCGATGGAAGTCCTGCACTACATCCTCGCTGACTTTGTGCACGGACTGAGCACCGATTTTCTCCTCGATGCACGCGTTCATGCACGCAGCTCTCCGGAGCACCACGTCGGTGAAGCGTAGGTCCGAGAAGGTGTCATCGAAGGGATGCTGGTCCTGGCACCTCAACCGGCACCGGACTTTGGTGCGCCGGGCTTCTTTGTAGCTGCTGAGCGCTCCCTCCATGTAGCGCACCACATTTGTATAGTCGTTGTTGTAAAACGCCTGCACCGCGCTGTCATATAAGAGGTCGTACGGCTCCAGGAAGGCTGTTGAAGATGACAACGCGACAGTGAGGAGGGCTACGGAGAAGATAGCAACCGGTGAAAAGTTTCCATCCATCCTCTGCTTCGGTTCAGACGGTGAGGAGCGACAGGAGCAGACTGTCAGTCACAACTACGATCAGCTTAGACTCGTTGTAGAGTCCATTTAAAAGCTCCTCGCGGAGATAACGCAGGACGGCACCGGACCAGGGCGGAAATAATGTTGCTTTTGTCGGGGACACACATTTTGGTATGACCCCTCTCTGGCTCCGCTGACTCCTCCCCTCCAAGACGTGAATGGTCCGGAGCACATTCACGGCTTTCCTTACAGGCTGCTGGAGCAGCCGAGCGGGGGACCCACGACGGTCCTTCAGGGAGTCCCGTGGGTCGCCACAGAGTACGAACACGAAATACTTTGATTCCACGTCTTTTCACCACATCATTATTTTGTACTTGTTGAAAACCACTTAAGTTGTTGTTTCCTAAGACACGTGTTCAGTCTCCAAAGTTCCCGCTGCAGATCTGAGGGAACTTTAAAAAGAAAAGGCGCTCGATAAAAATGCCTGAAAAAGAAAATGTCCTTTATTAAACAAACGGGCACCAAACTCTTAAAACAGAGGTCACTATATAGACCAAACAAACAGCAATACATACACTTAAATATGTGACTATTTAAAACGATTTAGATTAGATTTATATTGCGATATTAATTATGAATATGGCTCTGCATTTAAAATGTGTTCTCCAAGAAAATGGCGCAATGATAATAAGTCACCTTTGTAATTATGTTCTTTTATGGGAATTAATTTATAACATCGGCCCAAAGACGACTGATGGAAAATAGCCTCTTGTTTATCATAGTGCACTGTCCCTGTTAAATAGCCTAATACAAGTAAGTTGTTTAAAAATGTCCGCCTCACAATCTTTTCTAGTGAGATACGCATGTACAAATACTTGCTGCCTTGAGTTCTGGACGTTTTGTTTGTTTAGGGGGTTCAGTGTGAGAGTCGAGACACAGTCGGCCGAAATCCATTTACAGGAGACTATCTCCCTCTGGAGGTTATTCCAGCTACAAGCAGTTTAATCACCGGACGCTTTTAAAAACAACCTCTCAACTCTTCATTGAGGACAAACAGAAAGTTAATCTTTTATATAAAAACAATACATGGGCAACTGTTATTCCATTACTCTTTGAAGACACCACAGAGGCGACAGGTAGTCAAGCCGGTAAAAGGGCTCCAGGGAACCATAAAGGTACTAACATGCACTGTAGATACTGTACTTCAGGTTCAGCTGTAAGTGTGGTATGTGGAAATGATCCCAAGTGTTTTTATCTTCAACGGGTGTTTTTTAAGGTCAGTCTTTTATCATCCTGACTGAAATGTGTTGTCAAGCCATAGCTTTTTTAAATCAATACTAAAAACAAAATGTAAAAGCTACAAAATCAGTGGAAAAGGTGCAGCAGGATATAATAGGCACAAATAAAACACATTAAAACAAAAGAGACCTCAATATGAGTGGCTCTGTGTCCAAAAGTCCAAAACACTTAGAAGGACTGGACAAAATAACAGGAATGTCTTAATTAATGCCATACAATACAACAAGCACAACAGACTACCGAGTCAAAACAACATCTCGCACCAGCAGCTTTTATTGTAGGGCTGTTGTTCTGGATTGTACCACAGGTGTTGTCTGTGCTGTATGTCCACTCACGTAAGACTACAGAATAAACTGTTGCTGTAATGAAGTTACTACAAGAAACACAGATCCACCCATGTCTTCATGAGGCTTCAGGAAGAATCTGGGCAGCAGTTTGCCAGTCCCATGAGGGATTCCTGATTAGTTTACATCCGCGGAAGACACAACAGTCTCCTGCTGTTTGTTGTGTTTCTACTGAAGAAATGAAGTTCTTTGACCCTGTCCAGGATGACTTCCCCGTACTTCAAATCATTCTGCAATCAATATTGTAGTGGCCATTTGTCCGATGAATCAAAAACAAGCATAAATCAAAGGGCCGCTGACTCAAAATGGGTTTGTGGTTTACACAGGGAAAATAATTCAATGTCTCATTATTTATTTAACACAAAAAAAACAAGCGAGCACATGAAAGAACAAAGGAACTCATATCGCTGCCTCTCCTGCTCTGTTAGAAAACCATAGGCCCACCCCGGTGCATGCTGGTCCTGAACCTGCCTACTCCTATATATGTCCGCAGGTGCCCACAGTGTTACCCAATTCATTAACAAACAAACAAACAATAAACACTAAGTATACTTAAACAACAACAAAAACTAATGAAACAATACTACTTGTGAATAAAATACTAAATACTAACATCAAATAAAAAGCTCCAACAAATATCTTTAGAGGCATTTGAATTAAGTAATTCTGTCTAAACGTGAACCCAGTTTGAGATAAAGCTCTTACACCGACTCTCAGCTCGTTTTATACAGAACTTCTTACTCCACTTCAAATCAATTCTCCAGTCTGAGTTCATCACGGCAGCAGCTGTAATAACAGATGCCAGTAAACACAGAGTTTACGGGGCAAAACGACAGCAGATATGAGAGGAAGGAAACAGTTTCAGTGTCCGGAAAGCTCTCATTACTGGATCCGCTTTGTACACAATGTCAATAAACCAAATCAAATTTGATCAACAAAGTACATTTAACTAATTACGGTACTTATTCTATTGTTCACATTTGAGGTACTTGTACTTCATTTGAGTATTTCCATTTATTGCTATTTTATATTTTTTCTTTATATTTCTACCACTACATTTCAGAAGGATATTGTACTTTTTACTTGATGATATTGAAATGATATTGAATTATATGTTATATATTATCTTTAAATGGGCCATTCTGCATAAAGAGTAGGCTACTTTTACTTTTTGTACTCTACGTATATTTTCATGCTAATACTTCCGTAGTTGTATGTACAGTAAGTAACAGAGTATTTCTAGTGTGGTATTACTACATTTACTTAAGTAAAGGTTCAAAGTATTTCTTCCACCACTGATGCTGACCTGTGTCAGTAAATCTTCATCACTATACTGTAGTATAAAAAGTAATTTAAGTAAGAGAAAAACATCAACCTTAACACTGTATACAATAAAATAGAACGTAACGTAAGCCAGAAGAACACAAACATATTTTATTTTTATTTTCAAAACGTCTTTCAAACGGCCACAGAATGTGCTACATCACATAACAGCATCGTAACATAACATAACAGCAGCAAAATTACATGAAAATACGGCAAGACAATATAAAAACTAACGAAGAACATCGCACAAACAAACCTATATTAACACCAGTGTGAAACTGAAGTGGAACGAATTGTACAGCAATGTACACCTGAAAAGATCTTCCAATCAAGTGTCAAAACTTTGGTTCTACACTGCAAACTATTGAAACAAGTGTTCTTCATTGGTAGTTGTGACAAGGAACTTGGTGAATTCATAATTACACAAACAGGCTGACAAAGTTCAGGAATCAGGACCTGGAAGAACCGAGTGCTGCAGCAATGACGTGTTTTTGTTGGCCAACCTGGAAGTTAGCGTCGCACCGGTTACCTCGATACAAAGCCAATGGGATTTGTCAGGGTTTTAGGACTCATTCCTGCAGCATATTGATTACTTTATATGATATTTGTATTTCTTTTTTTTATCAATTACAAATGTAATCCTTACTTTTAAACTTTCAATGGAAAAAAAATGACTGACAACATCTAAGTAACAACCAAACAAGTGTTGTGCTGAACCAGAAGAATTCAAGCTACTGTATGAAATGCGATTGAAAGTCAGAACAAACAGCTTGATCTTGTGTGTAATCCTGATCCTGGTTACTAACTTGATGTTCAGCAGGTAGTATTTATAATCCTACAGTTTGTCGTCATCGTAACACAACCTGCTCCTGTTGGTAAATTCAGCGCTGACTGTATCAAAGCCTCTCCGCTGCTCTCCTCCACTAAACGTAGTTGGACTTTGGGTGGGTGGTGGAGAAGAGGTGGTTGGAGCTGATGGACACGGTGGACTGGGACCGCGAGCATCTCCGACAGCTCAGGAAAGCACCGCCAGCCATAGTGAGGAGGCCGCCAGCCCAGCTGACAAACACGGCATTACCGAACTCAAAGCTGCAGAGAAAAACAGGCATTTAGATGCACAACTATGTACAGAATCAACTGTGTGTGTGTGTGTGTGTGTGTGTTTGTCTGTGTGTGTGTGTGTACCTCTGCAGGCGATGAGATTCATTGACGATCTGAACAATCATTTTGACGTACCAGGAGGTTATGATGAAGGTCAATAAACCTGAACAAAGAAAACACATCATATTGTTTATTAAAATTTTTTATTTAAGACTACTTTTACTAAGGTTTTTTTTTCTATTTTTAGGGACTGATTGAATACTGCCGACATCACAGATGTAAGATAGATGTAAGATGACCTTCCTTTATGAGTGCTCAATATGATCCACTATTTTCCTTTTAGTCATAGAATTTCATGGTTTGAATTATGAAAAGATTAAGGCCATATCTTTAGACTGACCTAATATAGGAGCTAAATGTGCTGATGACATTTCTGCCCATATTGCTGCAGAAACTGGGTGCTCTCTCGTCTGGCTGCCGATGCTTAATAGTCTCATTAAGTTGTTGTTTTGGACTCGTCTTATGGTTTCAAAAGGCCCTTGGGTTGTTTTTAAATAATCTTAGTTTGCATTAAGGTTGTTTATGGGATGTAATATTTTACATGATTGTATTAGAAATGTTATTCACAATTGTATAATGGCTTAACTGTTTAGTTCTTGTCTTGTGGGGTGTATTTTTGTGTTATCTTATTGTGTTGTTGTTTGCCTGTAACTCTGTTACTGCTGCCTATTTTGGCCAGGAGAAAACTGAGATCTTAGTGAGGGATTCATCGTTAAATGAAGGTTGAATAAAAAAAATGGGATGAATTGGAACATTATTAGCACATCATATTTGACATATTATCCAGTCTGAGTGTCTGTGAAAGCCTGTCAGGTTCTGCTGCCGCTGAACACACCTGCAACCATGAACATGATTCCTCCGACCATAGCTGTTGTGGATTTGCTCTCAGCTTTGCCGTCCATGAAGCGGGTGCACTTCATTCCCACTGTGGACGTCAACAGCGCCACAGTGGAGAGGAAGATGCTGAGCAGCATCACGGCCCTGGTAGCCTGGACCTCAGCTAGAGGAGCAGAAGTGGGAACGTTGGTACATTTAAACAGCAAACTCATTGATACGGTCTGATCTCTGCTTTCTGTAAGACATTGCATATTACTCATATTGCTTCTTTCTGTAAATAAATGTATTACAGTTGTAGTCTTTTTTCTGGTTTGGTCTGCAGGCTTAACCTTTAGACTTTGTCAACAACACAAAAGAAAATAAAGCTGAAATAAAGAGAACAATTCTACAAAACATACTAATTGCCAGTACCTAACTTCTTCCCTGTATGAATATCAGACATGCCATGAAGTCAGATGAGGTCAATCCAAAGGGCTTGTACAACAAAGACGCACTTCTGTCTAATTATAGTAGCTTCTTGACAGTGGAAGGTATATCTCAACAAGCAGCGTCTGGTTTTTAGAGGAGATGCAGATACGATTAAAAAAAGAACTTACTTGGCAGCTTCAGGAGGTACTGGTGAAATTCACAGGTTGTTCTCACGTTGCCACTGCAGCTCATCCACAAGCCCTCGAACACGCGGTGAGTCTTGCCCTGGTACTGCTTCTTCCATTCCACCATCAAAGTAGCGCCGACAGTGGCGGCGAGACCGACCAGTGAGAGGAAGAAACCGAGGAGCTGCAGTCCCGAGCTGGCCATCGTATCCAGATAACAGCAGAGCGCGAAGAGTTGAGAAATCAAATAAAAAAGGTCCGAGAACTTGTTTGGAAACTTAGCAGAGACAAAAATCTCTTAGCGATGAGAAAAGTTAATTTCCTTCTTGATGCCTCCTCGCAGCCTTGCAGACCGTTATACGCGCGCTTCACTGCAGCTTCTATTTAAAGTCCAAAGCGCGTGACGCATGTGAGGTCTTTACTCCAACGGCAGTGGATGATGGGAAGAGTTTTTTTTCTTCTTCGGTCTTATCAGTCCAGTTAATAAATTACGGTAAATACTTAAGAAGGAACAAAAACCTGGTCTGTAAGATGATGTTGTATTAGATTATTTGTCACAATAAGAGATACAACAGAGGACTCCAAGTCACACATTTGTAAAGCATGACACAATTCATTCCAAGACTTATTTCCATTGTGGTCCCTGATGTAAAGATAGCATTGATGCAGTCCACACAACTATCAAATACATACAACACATACAAAATGTAAAATCAACATTAAAATCACTCCAAATCAGAATTTTAACAATATGCAAATATATGATTTGCACACAAATTAACTAATTAATTCACTTAATTAATTAAGTGACGAGCGGACACTTCCAAGATTCCCATAAGACATGATTCAACTTCAGTTAGATATTTCTGCAGCCAAGAAGCAACACTTGCGATGCAATGTAATGTTAATCCTCACAATTGTATTACAACTGAAGAAACAACATTTTTTACACAATGTGCTTGTTTGCTCGCATGGGTTAGTGATGGGCTGGCATATAAAGATGTTTATTGGCTTCCTTTTTTCAATAGCGGGCATCTGAACTAAGCGGGTTATCTGTTGGTGACCATGAGGAGTAAAGTTTGGATTGCAAGGCTAGTGTGTGCATTTAAGTGCAGTAATGTCAAATAACTCACTTCAGCTTCATGCAACAAGAGTCTATCATTACTTCTTCAGTTTAATGTACATGTCAGTGACAACAACAGAAAAACCGACACGTGACAAAAACATAAGTAAAAGAGCTTGTGTTTATGTCTTCATTTTACCCAAATTACCAAATAATTTGACCATATTTGGTTACGGGGATGCCAGTTTGTAAACACTGTATTTGTATGTTAGATTGGATCAGTTTCCACCCTTTCCTGAAAAAAAAGCCTGAATCAAAACATTGCATACGGCAATTAAAGACACAGCTCCCTTCTGAATTTGCCAAAAGCAAGTCATAATGTAGCCCTCCTTGCAGGCACTGGATTCTTTTTTTTCTTTTTTTCACAGCCATTGTTTAATATCACTTTAAAGGGTCGCTCGGTTCAAACTTTATATCCAGGGAATTCCTGCTGCATGTTTGAAGACCGCATGGCACGACCGTGACAATATCAGGAAAAGTGTACTAATTTCCCGGCGATATCCATCCATCAAAAGTTAAAGTTGCTATAATACACCATAAAAAGAGTTGTCAAACCACTTGGCCTCTGTCTGAGTAGAAACAGACTTCCTTTTACAGTATGCTCTGCACCAGAGGACTATAGGTCAACTTAAAGAAAATATGTGCCGGGCAATCTGTCCTCCTCCATGTGCTCACACAGCAGGCTGTTTGTAAGTCAGCTGTATACCCTTCCCTGCATGTGTAACCACTGACTCACATCCCTGGAGGATTTTGTGAGAATAGTACAATAGTGATGGTGAAATGATTTGTAATCTGTATATGTGCTGATGAACATGTGTAGCAGGTGCTGGTGTGTGCTGTGGTTGTCATTTAACTGAGAGATACTGAAACAGCCTGATATAACAAGTTCAACATATTCTATCACCTCGGTTTCAGATAAACTTTCTGTATAGTAGCAACAGCTACATAGTTCCATGTTTAACTGATATCTTTACATCCATCTAGTCAGATCTGTGACCAAACAAATATTAACAGCCATCTTTTTTCTTCTCCACAAATATGTGTTGCAGTAGCATACTTGTAGGTGTTTTTGTTGTTTTGTTGATTGAGCTTTTATTTAACCGGACTAACCATTATAGTAGCTGTCTCGTACAACCTCTTACTCTTTTTATGTATACTCTTGGTGACTCTATTTATATGTTTATATATTTAATACTTCCTACGAGGACTTTTCTTCACTTTTTCACTACTCTGTTTTTTTCCTGCCATAAAATGTAACTAATTTGACAGTCTATGCCTTTACTTAGTTTTCTTTGTCAAAATAAAATAATAATAATAATCATAATCGTTTTCTGTGTTGTAGCCCAATCCTTGCCATTTGACCTATATTGTTCAAAACTGCTTTCATGTCTTCGCTACTGCTTCCAGTAAAAACTTTGAAGGCAGTGACTCACACTTTCTCAAAACACTTTCTTTATAAGGCCATTGTTGCCTGCTGACCCCTCACTCACTACTCTTAACCGGCCCTGGACTATAAGGGCCGCTAGTGATAACACAGCTTAACCAGCTCACATTGGGCAGAGGGTACCGCCAACCCGTCACAGCCCACAAACACTCACACCTACGGGCAACTTAGAGTCATGCCAGTTCACCAAACTTGTTTGGCCAGAAACTCACTTAGGCTCCGCAGGAACACACAGAACTCAGTTAGGTGCACTAGATTTTAACACCTTCTGGTGACCAATGCACTGCTGCTCATGACTGAATCCTAAAGCCTTCACACTTTCCTTTTAGCTGCCAAAAAAACCTGTTTCCCCAAATCTTCCGAACAGAAATAATGTTAATCAAAAGGGGAAATTGGTCACTGAGTGCCGGGCAATCTGTCCTCTAGTGCCGGGCAGTCTGTAACATTAAGTATGCCACTTTTTATGGTGTGATTCAAAATCACTGTGTGTGACAGCTCAGATTATTAACAAATTGGTCGGCATGACTGTGATCCTGACGGCTGATCAGCAGATACAAACACTTGTCATGTAGTCAGAGTCTATCTGTCTAGAAGAAAAAAGACATGGGAAAAATAAATGTGACTCATACAAATGTCACAACCCACTTCTTATAGTAATCTGTTTGTAAGAGCTTTTAAGAGTAAGAGTTGCAATTATCAGGAAACATGCTAGTTGTATGATCTAAAAATGATGACGGGACTGAAATATCACAACTATTGGATGGATTGTCATGAGAGTTGATGAAATAGTAACTCGATGATCCCCTGATGCTTCATCTAGCTTCATCATCTGGTCAATATTATGATTCGTTTAATACTTTGGTTTGTGATTAAATACCTGCACTCTGTATTCAGTGCTAAATAGTGAATGCTACCATGCTAATACGCTAAAACTCAGATGGTGATCATGGTGAACATTGCTCCTGCTTCGCATGATCTTGCCAGCATAGTCATTATGAACATGTTAGCATGTTGATGCTAGCATTTAGCTCAACGTACTGCTGTGTCTAAGTACAGCATCACAGACTCTTGCTACGTGCTCTACTCCCCAAACTGATGTAGGAGGAGACACGTAAGCCAATGCAAAGAGCTAAGACGACATTATAAACACATTTAAGTGCTTACATTTTTATATAAACGAAAACTAACGCAATGCCACTGAGGGGAAATGAGAAAAATGTACCACACTTAAACAAAAACATTCCATGAATTGCATTCAAAACAAAGAAAGAGGCAGTTATACCAGTCTTTATCAAAATCAACAGGCGGAGATTGTTTCCTCTAACAAATACATGTCTGGGCGTTTATGTGGATATGAAATACGAAATGGCCAGAAGGTGGAAATGCGGTGCTTAAAAAAGGCACATTGAGGTTATTTTTCTCAGGAAACTAAAGTCCTCTGAGATCAGTTGTAAACTCTTAATGGTTTTCTATTCAAGCTTTTTGGCCAGTGCCTTGTTTTATGCTGTGGTACTACCGTGCGTTGGGGTGACACCATTACTATCAATAAAACAGGAGCAAGATTATTAAGCAGCAGAAAACACAATCTTTTCGGCTTTATTTTTATGCGCTGAGCTGTGAATGTTGTTGTTTACACACAAGTGACTAAACCAGTTTTCCCTCTTAAGTTACATCTTCTATCATCTCCTATCACATATATCAGCATGACAGGAAGTAGAGACCACAGACAAACAGACACACTTGACCTTCTGGGAATTGGAGCATGACTTGTTACACAGCTTAACTGTCAGCTATGTGTGATCTGCTCCTGGTAGCAAATGAAACCGATTTGATTATTTACAGCATGCGAGAATGACTCTGGCCAAAACAAGCGACGCACCTTTGAAGAGTTCAGTGTAAACTCAACACCAGTTCAGGGACAAGCCCTAAAACCCGGAAATAAATCAGCACGTTCAGCAGTCAATGAGTTTTTTTTATTAGGTTTTTGGTTAGATGCCAGAAATAATGTCTGTGGTTAACACAAGCAAAACATAACACATGTTAACCTTGTTAACTCATGTCAATAGGTTGGAGATCCATTCCTTCTTACTGTCTGACTTTTTGGGGCTTTCTGTTGACAGTAGCATGGCTTCCTGTAGGTGCTGCCCAATGCACCGTGTCGCCACACAAAAGAAGGAAGCAGGCATTGGGAAGGAGTTATATTCCTCAGTTCTGGGAATATAGCAGCGAGTCCCTGGAGTTAATTACACACAAATATGTATTATGTTGCGTTGCTAAGTAGAGAGGACAGAATCGAAAGTAGGGTAAAGTCATGTGCCTTCCTATAATGTTTAAAAAATAATTCTCAAAGGGCCTACATCCAAAAACTACTGATGCTACAACATTATAACATTGCCTGCTGTGAGGGCGGTCTGTAAGAGTGTGTATGTTTTGCACAAATACCAACAAGGCAAGTGGTGTTATTGTTCTTTTTGACATTCTGTAAGTAGTTTTGAGTCATATTTACTGTGTAGAAGAACTGCGCCCCAACTTAATCAGGGAGTATGCAGTAAGCTAAACATAGTCTTCAACTGAAGTTGGCCTTGCTTCATTCTCTCCCATTTGTCCATGTGTCATTGACATTCTATATTGACCGTCTATTGTTTATGCTTGTTGCTGAAGATTGTAGTCACTCAGTGCAGGCATTCATACAATTTGAAACCAGAAGAATATTGAAAATACAAACTCACCAAAGGCTAGGCAATTCTCTCAGTGAAGTTCAACAGAAAAATATGGTTTGAGGTGAATAAGGCTGAAGATTCCAAAAGTCTGAGCGCAACATATAAAATCAAAGATGGTGCAGGATTTCTTCTTCTCCCCGCAACTGGAGTGCTACTCGGCAGCAGTAGAGGGCTGCCTCTAGTGGATGGAAGATGTATCAGAGACAACATGTATATTACAAACAGTGATATTGCTCTAGTGGAGCCGGACTCCTTGGGGTTCTCTAAGATCAGGGAAGCAATGCCTTCTAACTCCAGAGAGACTTTTTATTTTACAGCACTTATTCCAAAGAACAGGAGGGTTCGGGGCTGAGGTCCTCATTTGGCACTCTATGAACAACATGCCATTTTTCAAATCCTTCCAAAAGTTAGTCGTGTCAAACCGGTGAGGTACATAAAAACTGCTCAGCCAGAACCCTGAAACATGCCGCCTATTGTAAAGTCATTCAGAAGATTAACCAGGCTGATTCGTCCCAACAGGCCTTTTTCAGAGCAGACATTGTGGCTTGTCATACGAAAAGCACAGGTGTTAAACGGCTCTGTCCTATTCAAGTGTTCCAGGAAGTCTTGACAGTGAGCCAACATGCACAATACCAGGACGCTGAAACTGAAGCAATGGAATTCTTATTTTATTATTTAGACCTGTGCTTTTTCCTACTGTGAACATGTCAAAATGTCTTTTGTGATAAAGGCCTATACCTGTGCAATTTGTAGTCGACTGAAAGCCAAACAAACTGCTGTCCCCAAGATGTCTGAAATGCCAGTTGTACACCTTTAATGTGATTAGAATTAAACGCTGTGATTAAAAGTCAATGTAACATTTATATATCAGTGCTTTATCTAGAAGCAAAAACAAATATGTTCTATTGTATTTCTTATACTCAGTCTCTTAAGATTTTTCTTTGGGCTTTTGCTCTTAAGTACAACTCTACCAGTGGATCAATATCCTAAAATAAATCTGGTAATAGTTTGTCCTTTTGTGCAAGCTAAAACAAAGCACCGGAGAATTGCCTTGGCATGCATTCAAGGGTGACTCCCTGCAAAGATGGGCCGTGGTGCTGCTCCAAACCAGTCCGGTGTCATTCCTGCATCGGGCACAGCACGGAGCGCCGCAGGCCCAACGGCCTGCCTCACTTTTTACACCCCACGATGAGAATGTGCGCTTTTGTTCACATGCCAGCATTCAGGAGATGTCACCTACGGCTCAATTTTAACTTTTAAAATATGGCAGACTCTTCTCACGGGCTGTGAGAGTACCATTCTTAAAATGGAATTTTTAAACCAGGTTGAATTAAATAAATGTGAATAGATATGCATATGGCCACATAGTCATATTTCATATTAGTTTGATACTATACAGGGCTACCTCATATCAAGTGATCTGAATTAAATGCATTATGTACCGAGTCCAAGTATATATATGAGGATTAATAGTAGTGTATAAAGTGCTCAGATTAAAAACGGCAATGTAGTGTTTAAACAACTTAATGTCTTTTATTTTCTTTGATTTACATTTTGTATTTGTATCTATGACTGCTGTAATGATTCCCTCCCATGAAAAAGACGGAGCTTAGCTTTTTCTCTGTTGAGGGTTGGATCACTTGAGTTTCTGACAAACTACCTCTGTGACTCCCTCCACCGGTTTTTCCTGAAGGTGCGTCCTCAGGCCCTCAGACTTCAAGAGACAGAGAGAAGAGAAAAAGAACCATGCAATGCGTTGGATTTAAATGACTGGCGCTTTTTCCTTTTACAGAATCATATCAAAGAGTGTGGAGCGCATGCTTTTAGTTTCCTCTCTGTGTAGGATTTACATTTTGATAGACACTTCACCTGGATGGACAGAAACATCCAGTAAGTAGAGAGTGATTGGGTCTCTCCCTCTCTCTCTCTTTCTATCTCTCTCTCTCTCCCTTCAATATAAGTGGGCGTGTCTTCGTGTCTCAACACGGCTTGCTGCAGTTGATAGACAGCCGCAGTCAGCTTTTTTACCTGCCAGGTGAGACACGGAAAACACATTCGGTCCTCAGAGTCAATCTCGCTGACTCGGTGAATACCTGCAGCAGCAATGGTTCATCCCTCTCGTGCCACTTGAATGAATGGAGGACAGGTGAGTTCAGTTACCTGTGAATACATACTGTTCTGTTTTGCAGTTCTGCAAAACTGTTAACAAGCCGTGCTGTTCCTTAGGATGCGTGTTTTTTTTGACACCTGTTGCGTCTGCTGACTGATACCGAGGCACACTGGCGATGAGTCAAATGAATACACGAACAACATATCAGACGAGTTTGAGCTCGTTAATCAATATTTGCTTGCAGTTGTGAGCTAAAGGATCATTGTGTGTATTTGCAGAGAGGAGCACGCTCAAACGTGTAAGGCCTATTGCGCACATTAACAGGCCCGTGTTGTTGACATACAAAATAACTTTTCGTTTCTCTTCACAGGATTGTTTTGTTTTTTACAGCTTTTCTGTTACCCGCACTGCTGGAAACATTGCCTGAGAATTTCTGTGCTCAAAAATTTCAGTCATTGTTTCTGGTCGTGTGTGTAATGTGCATCCAAGATCACAGAGAGCCGCCTGCCACAGTGGAGGTTTGGATGGATTTTTTTTTTGTGTTTATTTCAGAGCGACTGCAGTCTTCAGGCTGAAGTGCAAAATTGATCTCTACTTTAAAAAAAAATAAACGTCATGTTCATTAAAATAAAAATACTGCTCAGCTGTTTGTCTAGAGTGTATAGCCCAAATCGGCATCATTCGAATTCTGTGCATTGGTAATAACAAGCTACCAGCCAAATATTGGTAGACTTTATGTTGTCTAGTTTGTTTAATACATCAGATCTCTCATTTGAAAAGCATTTTATTTTATAATTCACCAGATAGGTCTCAGGAGCGAAACAGAGATTCTGTTCTGTTTCGAAACCTTTTAATCTCGCAGCAGCAGCAGCAGCCACTTTTCTGGTTATGGAGGTGTAGCTTAGTTGTGACATATCCCACTGAGGGCATGGCAGTGGTGTTACCACATGCAGACGAGGCATCAGTATGTCAGGTATGTTGGTGAACCAGATCCACTTAGCCGTTTGAAGATGAAGGGTGTAACTCTGTACTTTCCTTTAGAGTGGCATGATGTATTAAAATGACTGGCAATGAAAGACTACCTGACACGACGTACAAGGAAATGAAAGCACAATACACTGAGCACATGACGAAGAGATGAAAGAATCAATCCTGGATCAAATGTTTTATATAAAAATATATGGACAAATGAAAATTAATGTATTCTAGTGAATGAGTCTGTTCCTTCAGAAATAAAGATGCGAAACAAATTCAATTGTAGTTAATATTTGTATGAGCAAACAGCTGGAGGTCCACACAGATCCACTTCAGACTGGGTTCCCTTTCGTGTGGTATTGCTGATGTGCAGACTTTGTTTTTACATTGACCAGCATTACCTGCCTAACAGGGGAGACATTATGTAACATTTAAATGACCCTGGGTGTCAGCAAACACTGGAACAAATAGTTTATGGCAAAAGTTTCAGCAGGTCAGAGAAGGAGCTGAAGATAAATACTTAATGTATTTTTGGTTGCTGTGGTCGGTTTGTCTTTCTTGGGAATTTAAAAACTGTACTACAGGCAAACGTGTCTTTGTGTTTGGGTGACCGTCTGGTGTGTATACATCAGATCAAAGAAAACTAAGAGATTTCTTGTCTCATTTGAGGCCTGATCTTTTCCTGGTTCAGCTCACAGAGCTCGTGTGTGTTTGACCTAATGAAAGAGTCATATTCATAAACGGTGGAAATGCTGATAAATTTATTACATTTGGAGATGCTATAAGTAAAAGCAACTTGTTAATTCATTTTACTTGTATGCAGATTGCATACAAGCCCTGGATTAAAGAAAATTAAAAACGTAGCACTCAATGTTTGTAGACGGCACTCGATCTCAAAGTAACGTCTGATGCACAATATCCACAAATACACACATCCCAATCAGATCAATTTTGTACATTTGTTTTGAGTTGTCAACATGTCCACATGGTGGTGCTCTCACCAAAGAATAAATACGGAGTCCCACCTCGGTGGTTGTGGTAGCTCTGCTACGTCCACAATAACTTTTAAGCTTTTCCCATTTTCAAGTCCTTGAAAAAATAAACGGCAGCATATTTTAGTACATATTAGAACTCAAACACCTGCATGTTTGTCCTCGGCAATGCAAACATCTCAATCCTCTGAACAGGGAGGGAATCATTTCAGAAGCCGATATACAATTTCAGCAACATTTATTATAACGTGAGAACCTGGAAGCAGCACTAAATGTTCAAGGACTGAATCACTGTGTGGCCATCACAAACACTTCGGTTAACTCAAAGGCTGTACTGTGCTCTTCATTTACCTTATTATTCAATATGAACAGAAAATAATGGATCCTGGAGTAGCTCCAACACAAAAATAGGTCCCTTTAAGCAGTAGTATATATTTCAGCAGACCTGGAGACTGATTTCCCTCCATCCAGATGTGCTTCTGTTGTGGGAATGTTTGTCTTTACTGCAGGCAGGAAGTAATGTCTGCCTTTGAGCTTGAGACAAAAAGTATAAAACCAAAACTGAGCGAGAGGGAATGGAAATTAAGGGAGAAATCTGAGAAAAAACAACAAAATATTGTATAAAAATAAAATATAAAGCTCCCTTTTCAGAACAAAGATAAGTGGAGGGACGCAAGATAATAGGGAACATAATACAGTAGCACAAGTAAAAAAACAAAAAGGATATTTACATTTAAATAAAACAAGCAAATAGCACAAGCATAAATTCAGGTTTGACACAGACAAGCAATGTACATGCATTTCGTTTTGGTACTGGTTCTTTTATGGGCCAGTTTTAGATTGTAAAAGGTGGCAGAAAAGAGATATATTGTACAGCAGTATATGAGCTAACAGTTTGTTCATTTACAAAGAGAAAAATATGATTGGCTTTTTGTGGCTTTAGCCCTTTCAGACAAACAGGGAGCCGGGCCATTTGATATAGAGCTGAAATGCATGTACACAGTTGTACACTTTCAGTAAGCATGCACATAGAAACAGTGAGCCATACACAGAATATCATCCATCCACAGTTTTAAGGGTGATGGGGTTACAAAGTTCCCCTCACAAGCAGAAGAAGACACAGCCTGCAGCCAATTAAATGTCCATAGATGATCACAAAGCTCCGCCTCCTCTGCACTGGTACAAGGTGGTAAAACATGTCAAAGCCAAAGCTACCAGCATCTCGATAAAGGCTTATCTTTTTAACAGAAGCGTATTCCTCAGCAGTCGTACGCTGTTTGGCACGTGGATCGGGCTCGCGTAGCCTCGGTGAACAGCATGACGAGAGAACAGAACTGCAGCACGGGGGTGCAAAGCAGCTGCCATGTTGGTATCTTAAGACACTGTGGCAGCCGTGTTGGACCAGACAGGCACGTCCCATGAAGAGTCATGAGGAATTTTTAAGATTGCATGGTTGTATCCAGAAGAGGCCTTGAGCCCTTGTGATGGAATGGTCCACAGATAGGATGAACATCAGCACATGATGACCATAAAAGGTCAGGTTCCTTTATTTCAACAGCTAAGAATCAGGGGGAGTTCATGTCACAAGGCTGCTATTCTGGCTTGTCTTGATGTTGAGTCAGTTAAAACAAATAATAATCACAATTTTACAAATTAAAAAAAAATGAGTGGTTCCAGCGCCCACAGACCCCACTTCCTTTACTCTGGGCCAACTTTGGAAGGTATTAAAGAAAAGAAATTCCATTGCCCACTCAATAGATTGTCCCAAGGGTTTTGATCAAACGAGTGCGAATGGTTGAAAACAAAGAAAAATATATGAAAAAAAAAAAAAAAAAAAGGATGAAGGGAGGACTGACAGCGTGTCGGTAGAGAGCCTGAGTCACCGCCTGTGATAGGCACCTGGAAGAGATGGAGCAGACAGAGAGATCCATCAGCAGCTTGATACATCGCATCGATGGATTGCAGTTGTGATGTTTCTGCACTGAGCTTTCTAGACATCAGTCGGTCTTCTTTGAGATGTGGAATTTACTCCTGCTGGTTTCTGATTATGCTCACTGCTCTGCTGGTAATGTGAAACAAGCAGCGTTTCTCCTTCAATGAAATACATTGTTTAAGTCAACATTTGCCGTTTTCAGCTTCTCAAACGAGAGGATTTGCTGCTTTTCTTTGTCACATATTATAGTCAGCTTGGGCGGCATCTGTTTTTTCATACCTTGCTGACATTTCACTGTAGTATATACGACTGTAGAGAAGACCAAACCCAAAACTCTCTGTTGCCATCTTTCTGAGCTCAGCTGTTTGTTAGCATAGAGACTGACCTCTGGTGGCGAGTGCTGTGCACTACAATACATCACATCAACACAGCATCGTGCATTTGTGACGGTATTGAAAATCACACTGTCAGCATTTCTAAATTCCCTCATATACCATAATGCCGCTAAAGCCTATGCGATGGTCTAAGACACATTTGGACTGATGGTCATCGTCGGACAAAACGAGCAATCTTGGGCTCCCTTTGAGCTCTTGGAATATGTGATGGTCATTATTTACAATTTTATTGACTGATAAATTGATTTATTGAGAAAATAATCAGAATAAAAATCATACTTTGTTGCACCCCTAGTTTTTATGTATATCAAAAGGAATGACTGTATGCAGTTTGTAGTGAAAGTGCAATGATGGACACCAGTGCGGTCCTGAAACACAGAAACATGGTACCTTTGTAAGCAGCCTCGGGTCTGGTGGGAGCGCGAGGGGGAGCAGGGAGGTCCGAGTAGCCGTAGCCAGAGTTCACATTCTCATAGTCGTGAGCATGAGGCTGATGAGGCTGAGGAGGCCTGAGAGACAGAAAAGAGAAGAGACAGAAAATGAATGAAATAACGGAGTTTCTACTTCTTGACTAACTGGAAGTATTTAGACTTAAGAAGTAGCCCGTCGTGTACTTGGCAGGCTTGTTGTGGTTCCTCTGCCGCTGGTGTTCATGCTCGTCTCGTGTTCTGGGCCGGACTACTTCCTCAGAGTTTGGCTGCAAACCAACACAAATGATTATGGTTCTAGAACCGCAGTGGAAATACACTTTTATATAAAACAAAGTCAGACGCTGCAAAAACATTTAAAAAGGAGTATGGTTGAGGCAGATTACCCTGTGGTCTCCCTCTGGCCGCCTCCTTTCCATTGCCTTCTTCTCCATGGCCAGCCTCTCCCTCTCCTTCTCCTTCTCCCGCTCTCTCTCGTTCTCCCGTTCTCGATTCTTCCTGTACTCCTTCTTCTCTTGTTCCATCAGCAGTCGGGCGATTTCCTGCCACAGCGAGACACCACAAACATCACACTGGATAATAAACAGAACCACAGACGAACCTCCACATCCTACATGATGTTTAGAATGTTCGATGTCATGTCACTGTATATATGAGATCTGTTTAATGAAAACACCCTGCTAACAGCTATGTGTTTTTAAAAAGGACATTAAATAACTATAATGAAATTTGTACAATAGTAGATTATTTATTTTTACCTAATCTTGGGCCAGAGAGTCTGGTTGAGACATGGCTTAAAGAACTCAGCTCAGGAAATTAAAGGACTTAAAAAACAAAGAGGACAGACAGCATGAGACAAGTTTCCAGACTTCATAGCTACTCACCTCATCCTGCGCCACCTGGGCTGTCCGCACATGCATCTTGCTTGCCTGAAACCAGAGAACAATCAAGACGTCACATTTTCCCCTCCAAGTGGAACACATTGTTCCAGCGAAATGACTGAGGAAATGACTGAGATTGAGGCCTTTCAGTATGTTTTTTCAGGCTTCCAGTCATTTACAGAATAGAATATGTCACTTTATGTATATTATTTATCGTGCCATTCAAGTGCTTCTTTCATACAGTGTTTGCTCCGGATATTGAAGCTGTCGTGATGTTTATTCAAGCATGCCGAAAGAAAAATAGACTTCACGTATCATTTGAATAATCTAAACCAAAACCTTGTACATTATTTAAAATGATTTTCTCTTTAGGTCCCAAAACATTATTCTGTTGAATAACCTCCACCCTGACGAATCAAATGGTGTGAAGATCTGATATTGTACTAGTTACACTGAGCCTATTATTTTTATATGTATGTATATGCATCATCAGCTCCCGATTTGCCGTTCTATATTCTGACATGACTTCACATTCTACCATCATCCAGAGGCCGTCAGTAATACCAAGTGTAAGTGCTTGAGGCTGGTTTTGACTGACAGTATTTCGGTATCAACGTCTGGACCTTTAAAATGCACAGTAACACATTTTGGGATGTTTCAGCTTAACAGAGGAAGAGTTGATGAATAAATTCTTTATTAAAATTAAATGTATAAACCTTATGAACAATCAGATATCTTTAACATATTATCCCATTCCTCTACATTTTAGGTTGTTTGATTTTACTCTCATGCATAAAACCTTTTTTTTTTTTAATCTTAACATCTTATATTTGCAGAAATAAACTAAACTTTCCCTGTTTTCCTTTCCTCACCTTGATTTCATCCTCTTGCATTTTCCTGGCCACCTCCATGTCCTTCAGCTCCTGCTCGCGGATATCCAGCTTTGTCAAACCCTTGGTGGCCTCGCTCACTCCGTACGCATTTTCTGTTATTACTGCTCCACTCACTCGGTGCACAATACGACCTGTGGATGTCGACACATTATGTCAACAACAGATTAGGCCTGCAACTAAAGATTACTTTCCTTATCAAATCATTTGTTGATTTGTTTCTATTTATTCTTCAAGACATCAGAAAATTAAGACATAAAATGAAAAATCACAATTTCTATGTCTTAAAATGTCTCGTTTTGCCTGATTTTTTTGGGCCTTTTTCTTGATAAATGACAAAATATTTATTGAATTTTCTGAATGATCAAATGATCGCTTCAGCACTACAATAGATTAATTTGTAGGTGGCTTAAAGCTATAAGGCACCTAAAAGGGCTGCAGTGCATCTCTGCTGGTGTTTACCACTGTGTTTAGTCGAACACCTTTAACAGCGTTGGAATGAGAAAACAACCAGCTAACCAGCCCTGAAACCCTTCGTCAATGCCACATTCTAGCTCATGAAAATCCATGAAGCTATTCCACTACAACAATCTGTGTAATCTTTTCATGCTCAATGCAACAACCCAGCAGACAATACAAAAATGAGCGTACCCCACAGCACAACAGCAACAAATCATTTCAAACCATCAAAATCTAAATCAGTCATCAGAAATTACTCTGGAATCGTCTTCCTCATGAGAACAGGAAATGAGTGTCTTCATTAGTGATTGCATTGCTAGATCGACCCACCACCTGAGATTGCCAAAGCAGAAAAGAAACTCCAGCACACCACACAAACACCCCCCCCCCAGAGCACAGAAGGGGGCTCAGGGCGGTACCTGTCTCTCCGTTGGGGTAAGAATGACCCCCGCCCTGCAATTCCAGCTCGTCAAACACCTCTTCGGGGCCGGAGTGGACACGTGGCCGGCCCAGCGCCTTCCCTTCCCTCTCAACATCACCCCCTCCCTCCTCCCAAGCAGCCCGGCTTTCCCTCGGACTGTCCCTGCTGTGCCCCGGCTCCTCTTCGAGTCCTCTGTCCCTGCTCCTGGTTCTCGCTCGTTGTCTGTCTTTGTCTTTCTGCCTGTCTCTCTCTCTCTGCCCGTCCCCACTCAGTCCTCCATCTCTGGATCTTTCCCCGTCTCTTCCTCTCGTCCCCCTGAGGTCCTGCTCCCTGGCTCTCCTCTGCTCTTTTTCCATATGCCTCTCCCACTCCACGTCTCTGCCCCTGTCTCGGTCATGTTTTCTATCCCAGGCCTTTTCTCTCTCTGTGGGGCTCTGTGGTGGAGGTGGTCTGGCTGGTCTGTCCTTCCTCCTCACCGCTCTGTCCGTGTCCTCCCACCCAGGGCCCCTGGCTTTGCCGGTCTCTGTGGACTCATGATCTGGGTATCTGTCCCCATGCTTGCCTCTAGAGGGCAACAGGTGTTCTGGGTACAGATCTGCATGCCTGCTTCGCCCTCCTTCTGCCACTAGGTGGTGCTCGGGATACCTGGAGCGGCTGTGTGGTGCAGCCAGGTCCTGCTTTGGGTACCTGCTCCTTTTGGGCTCTATTGAGCTATAATCTGGGGAGTAATCCCGATGTGGGCTCAGTGAAGCGTATGCAGTGTGTCGGCCTGGGGAGGTCGATTTGTGACGGGTGGGTTTGTCCAAGTCTAGGGGTCTTCTTGCGGCTGAACAGGGCAGAGAAGAAGGAGGGAGGCCGGCATGGAGAGAATGATGATGATGATGATGATGATGATGATGATGATGATGGTTGATGAGAACATGGAAACGTGAAAAAAACAAAAAAACAAAACACAGACAGGAATGATATAAGCTAAGATGGTTAGTAAGCACTGAGTACAGCACCTGTGAGGGTCAAAATACATCTAAAGATGTAAAGAGTGAATTAGCTGCACCCAAAATGTCCAGAGTTGTGGATACTACCCTGGGATTATTTGGACAGTGGCAACAAGATGTTAATATTAATCTTTTGATGTGACATACTCAACAATCTATGTCAACAAAACAAAAGCTGTATTATACCCATTGCACGAACAACATGTTCATCTCTTATGGAAACCATCCTGCTGGGAGTTGGCCTGTGGCCAACAAAAGTTTCAACGAAAACAAAGCACAATGAGGGAGCACACAGCAAGAGGGTCATTACTCAGTCAGCTCAATGGAATTCAAGTCATCTAACCGGCTGTTTGACATCTCATCGATGAGACATTTGAAAAGCAGCCTGACTGGTACCTGCTCAGAGCGACTGGGCTAGTTGAAGTGTTTGCTCTTCTGTACCACCTAACTTTTATTCCAGTAGTGTATCTGTCAAGCGGAGGATAGGCATTGCTGCCACGCTGGTTTGTGTGCAACTGTGATCCATTAGGACAAACACAGGAGCAGCCAGCTACGCAGTCGGAGGAAAAGCAACACGATTTCACATAAGCGTGATATAAAGACTAGTAGGGTGGATTTAAAATTAAACAATCACGAGCACAAGATGGTGAAGTTGCTCAAAGATCGAGCACCTTTGTGCACAATCTCGTAACCTGCATAAAATAGTGTGACGTCAACAGGCCCTTTCAGCATTGATGCAGGGCAAAGACCTCAATCTTTGTTTTACTGTGTGTACAGTCACACTGCCATGGTAGTGCGCACGCGCACACACACACACACACACACACACACACACACACACACACACACAC